ATTGGTTATTGATAAATTTAAACAACACATAAGTAGGGTCAAGAGCCCACATCTCCAAACGTGGCATTTTGCATTAGGTTTTCGAACACTTCATCTATAACTTTTTGGAAGTGATTGCTGTTGTTCTATACTTAAAATTTCGACTGTCGTCTCTGGCTTGGTTCGCCGTGTGCCCAACCGGGTACGCGAAGGCCTGGTGGCTTGCCCGTGTATTACTAAATCGGAACGGGCTATTTTCATGGTAACATCCACCCCCTCTCCTCCCTCATTCACGCAGGTTTGAAGGGATGACCAAGGCATAACGACTGCAGACGATAGGGAGCCCAAGTAGCTAGCGAAGCTTGAGTTTGCACCGTAGTGCATCACCATACCCCAATGTGAAGTGGTTGTTGTGGCCACCCATCCCCAATAACACCTTCAGTGCTCTTAGGTGGCCCACGGGTTGCTCAAGTGAATCCACGGCTTGGTCCGTTTAAATGGCATTCGTTCCATACAAATAGTCTGGGAATAATTGAATTTTCAATATGTAACCTGCAGTTCCCCTTCGAAGTCCACAGATTCTTTATCGTACAGATGCTTTAGGGCATCACACTATCGGACATCTTTTCAAAATCAGTTTAAGTGTCTTCATAACGCATCTTTCTAAGAGCAATGTTGTCTAGCTTTGCAGACCATAATTAGGGCGGTCGAACTAGTAAGTAGTTGACAAGCTGGAAAATCCTCTGTTTGCGAAGGATCTTTTGACTGATTTCTCGTATAAATTGCTATCCTCTCATACGTGAACCAAAATAGTCGTGAATTTGGTGATTACAAAGAAACATTTTAAATTGACTGAAAACTTTAGTAATTGCTGTTTGGCAGAAGGTAAGTTTTTCCTAGCATCTCATGTTGCGGATAGAAGTAATGCAGCTTATTTTTCTGAGCCACTGACTCTGCCGCGCACTTCGTTATAGCCTCAATGGCGTCGTTCGTCGGTGTTCCCCGTCAGGTTGCGGCAGTGGCCAGGTCAGTTACGGTCCCTAGTTTGCCGGAAAAGATTTTATCCCTAACGAAACATACAAAGAAAATTGTCAGAAGTTTCCCGAGACAACTCACTCCAAATGGTTTTGCTGCTTCCTCGTCTTTATTTGCCACTGCATCTGCCTCTTGCGGTATTTCCGGTATGCAGTCCATTCAGTCCCTTATTTTCAGGGCCGCTGCAAGTTAGATTTTCGCATGTGGATGTTACAAATGTTCCGGATTTTTCGGCATATCGTGTGAAGTCTACGAAGGATCCACATGTACGGTCCTCGAAGACAGAATTACAGCGGAAGGTCTTCACGTACACTATTGCTTTCGGTACATTTTGTCAGTTCATCTTTATTAAATTTGTGCGTTGCGGTTAAAAGAAACCAATCTCCCTGTTTCTCGAGAAAGTATACTCTTAGTTCCAAACGCCGATAGATAGAGAAGTCTTTCTTTTTCCGAACCCCGAAACGGAATAGCAGCATATTATTGTTCCGTCACAGATATGAGTGCAAGACATTGGAGCTTCATTTTTAGTCTTGACTGGTCTAACTAATTGGATGTACCTTCCCGCATTTAACTTGCCTGAAGGCTCTTAAATACACGAAGTCTTCGTTCTGCTCAATTCGCTTATAACACTTATCATACCAGCATACAAGTGGTCTCATATCTTTTCCCCACAACAAGTGTCTTCATCCTACAACAACAACAGTGTCATTCAACGTTTTGCTGCTGTCACTGGTCGCAAAATGCCTTCAGTTAATAATGCAATCTTCTGCTGATCCATTTCCTGCTTCTTAGATAATGCCTTTTTTTGTCGTCGTTGTATGTTTGACAATCCGGATGCCAGTTTTCACGATGCTTACTCGTCAAGCAGTGCGTAGCGGATATCTTGTGTGTTATATTTGTGTTTAGTTGTTTGGACAGTCGAGTTGTAGAGGAGAGTTTACATCTCATCAAATGACGATGTGAAGGAGGTTTTGCTCCCAGCTTTGATTTGATGTGAATCTTACTGGATATGTTGTCTAGATTACTATTAACAATGCTGGTCGATAAATTTTATTACTTTTTTTTTATTGTACACCGTTCCTTAGCGTTCGGCAAATATGGAAGGAGAACCTGTAATAGTACAAGAGACCTAAATAACGTGTTTTACATGAAACGCAATGGATAAGTGGTCGACTGAGTTCACTTTCTGACCCAGTTAACTAATTACATTTAAGCGTTCTTTTAAGTTTCAATGTTTTGTGAATTAAGTGCTATACATACTACTGACTTTCAAAAAATCTTTTTAGCGGGCACGGTACTCGCCACAACGACAGCAAAATATGCGGTGACAACCATGGTCCAGACCCTAGGACCTTCTGCAAAAACGTTGGCCTTGGCTAGTATTGAAGTCAATCTTGCAAGCATACCTGAAGGAAAGAACTTAGTAGTCAAATGGCGGAACAAGCCACTTTTTGTTCGCCATCGTACGCAAGAAGAAATTGAACGCGAGCGAGCTGTACCACTTTCTGACCTTCGCGATAAACAAAGAGATGAAGATCGCGTGGAGAATCCAGAATGGCTCATTTGCATTGGCGTCTGCACACATTTAGGTAATTTTCACACCTTTTCTGCTTGTAAACTTTTCGATGCTTATCACCATGTGTAGCTGTCCTCAGTGCTAGATGGCTTTGCACTCAGGTTCCTCGCATAACGATTTCGTTTTTTGTAGCGCCTTTATTCCGTTGAACTCACTTATTTGTTGAGGCTGTGACCATGTCGGATCAGTTTGGACGTAGTGCTTTTGCAGATATTGCCTCAATATATGAATTAGGACGATTGAATAGAACATGAGCGAAGATTTTTTCAGAATTGTGTTGAAAGGAGATAAACTGTTGCAAATTATATATTTCCTTTTTATTTATGCAGCTGAACGTTGACTGCGCCCTGTAATTCCTGTGGAATTTGTTCTTATGAGCACATCCCTTGTGACAGAGATAATCGTGTCCCTCGCTTTGCTAACGCGTCTGTAGTCTTCAGTTGGAAAAAATCCTTGTCCTGAGATTTTCCGCTGGATATCCGCCTCACTGCTTTGCCTGTTTCTTGTAGTGCCGGCGAGAGATGGGAATGAACGTTGGCCTCCAACAAAGAATTATTGATAACTTCCTCACAGACTATAGATGAATGATTGCTCATGTCTCTGAAATGCTCAACCCAGTGCTTTACGAACAGCGGTTTTCTCGTTATATTCGTTCGATCTGAGATTAGTAGCAACGCAGTTTTTGTGGTTTAAGCATCATGAACAGGCCCGATAACAGTTCCTTAATCTACTTCCTGCGTATCCTTGGTATTTGTCTCCTTAGTCAGCCAGTTCATCGCTTCTCCTCCAGTCTGTATCGCAGCTGGCAACTGCATTGAGAAAATGCGATCTTAGAACACGTTCATCAAGAAGGTCCTCTAAATAAGGTTTTCTGATGTCAGTTGCTGTATTGCACCACCACCTTCGAGCCCGCCCTGTTGTTTTCGTCGCGCACTTCGAAAGGATTGTCGTGCATGACGTCCCATAGTGTCTGTCAATTGTGACTGGTATTATTTCCTTCAGGATTTGCACAGGACACAAGTTGGGATTCAGCGTCCAACCAGCTCTATTACGA